AATGTAAAATTTTAACTGTCTGCAAATGTTGCAATAGTAATTCCAGAACGTTCACCGTAGTCACATTTAGAAGTTTTGGACGATATATCGGGACGTATTTGACAGTTTTGTATTTTTTTGTTTAGAAAAAAGTTACAGGGTATTTTCAAAAAGGCCCTATTGTTTAAAATTACGGTTTCAATTTAAATAAGTTTTTATATTAGCTTCAATAGAACGGCATGAAGTACAAGTTTGGAACAACTAGCATACTGTAAAATCAAGCCATAAAACAAACAGCTTACAGTGAAATGTTTAAAAACAAAGGTAAATAATATTAACTAATAATTCAGTATCGAGTAGGCCCACCTCGTACTCGCACAAGTTATGCTGTTCTTCTTGGCATACTGTACGCCAAGTTTGTACTAAACTCTTGAGAAATAGCTTTCCATCCCTCTCTAACTTAAATTATCAATTCTTCCAAATTTTGAAATTTCTTGTTCTTTTTTATTTAGTTTTAGTTTAATTTTGCTTCGCATGCGTTTAATTACATTCATATCCGGCGTCTCAGCAGGCCAGTTTATTTGCGCGAAACCAATTTTACTCAGAAATTCTTGGACAATTAGAGCCCTGTGTGGACAAGCATTATCGTTCACCAGAATAAAACCTTCACCAAAGTTCTAAACAAATGCAACGACAATCTCATTCACACATAAGTCAGGATACCTAACGCCATTCATATTTTATAAAATCAAAGCTACCACATCAGTTTTTCCATTCCTCATTACTCCACACCATAGAGAAACACTTTCTCTTCCAAACGGCACTCTAGCTTCCATATTTTATTATCTCACATTCTGTATAACACTGAAACTTTACTTTTTACTGAAGATTACATCAAGCCATTGAATCAAGAAATATTGGACTTTCAGAATATTCTCCATTTTTAAAAATCGGTCAAGTCGTCTCTTATAAATGACGATAAAATTAGCTGTACCGACTAATTCCGTGAGGACGGGTTGTATAATAGGCCGTTAAAATGTAATGTTAGTTTAAACTATGAACCTCATTGAATATTCATCGATTTGTTTTTAAACTATATAAAAAATGATATTTCTACGTTGAATTTAGTCAGTTAAAAATTAAACTCCTGTTAGCTAAAGTTTACAGCATTCTTTGTATAACCCATAAATAACTTTGAATAACTTGTAAGATTAGAAATATTTGAGGAACTATAAATTGAACGCATAGCTTTTGCTTTTTTTTGATTGGATACAAACATTTTTTCAGTTTTGTATTTGCAAAAACACTGCCAAGTATTATGAAGTCGAAAAACACGTTGGAATACAATCATAAGCATGTGGGTCAACATTTTTAAGAACTATTGTTGGTCTATAATCTAGTGCGATGATGATGATAAATATAATGACGATGATTTATTAATGTTAAGATTCGGTTGGATTTTTCATAAACTAAAAAAATCTGCGTGATATACTTATTAAACCATTTTCTCAGAATAAATAAAAAAAGAATTATGAAATGCTTATAAATGACCTTAAAAGTTGTTCTCTTTTCCAACTTATTATATTAAAGCGATTTTTTTTCAGGGGTTTAGACAGTTCATCATGCACCACATGTATTACTCTCTTAAAACAACTGACTCAACAAGGAAAGACTATAATTTGCACAATTCATCAACCTTCAGCATCTCTATTTACGATGTTTGACCAAGTTTATGTATTAGCAGACGGATATTGTCTTTACCAAGGAGGAACCTCACGAATGGTTCCATTTTTAGAGGATGTAGGTTTTCCCTGTCCAAAATATCACAATCCTGCCGATTATGGTAAGTAATTATTGTTGCTATTTCTTATATTATTTCGATTTGAATAAAGATAATGCATAACTTAGTTATGGTAAATTTTCGCGCTTAAGGGAAGCCCAAAAGACTAGAGGTAACACAGCTACAAAGACAACTCGGAGTAATAATAATGGTGTAATCTCGTTAGTGTTCTAGTAGACACATTTAACTGTTACTATCACTAGAATCTTGGTCAACTTTGTCCTATTATGGATATGAATTAAAAGGAAAACTATTCCAACACTATTCGGTTGAATATTGTTTGACCAAATAATTTAGCATCCCAGCAAAAGAATTAATTTTAATATTAAATAGAGTCAATTATACATTTATCACAAATGTGACAATTTGCATACAAGGAAAGAAAATCTAAGTTAGTTACATAATTTTATTTATATTTACCTAATATGTTTAAATGATGAGGTGACTAATTACAGCCTTAAATTGCGATTTTAAAGTTTCACTATTCTTTATAGAATTTGTTAAATCGTTGGTATAGAAAGATGAATTTAACAAGCTACCACTTTTCACTACTTTTCCCTAGTACCTTAACCTTCTAATTGCATACAAAATACTAATACAGGCCAGTCTCTTAATGTTTCATTTTAAGTATAAGACCAGTTCCACACAACCTTTTTTTCTTTCGAGCCACATAAATCTGTTTGTTATGCTACACCGCAATATTTTTGGGTGATAACTAGAGTTACCACCTTTTTGAAATGTAAATATAAAGGACAAGGGGTGACGATAGGGATCCGGTTTAAATATTTAAAAATAAAGTCCTCATGTTGTTTCAGTTGTTTTAATAGGCTGTGAAAAGTCGCAAGGACAATAAAAAAGAACTGCAGTTCAACAACAACATAAAAGCGTATTTGTTGTAAAGCGAACACCAAAATCATGGTATGCCTAAGAGCCGATTATGTTGGCGTAACATGGCATAACATCATCTGCAGAGTGCTTTGATGAGTGTATTAAAAACACCCAAAGGCGTATAGGTCTTAAAGGGAAATATTTATTATTAATTAATTTTGTATTGTTCATTATTATTTAAGGAGATATTTATTATTTTCTAAACGTACTGGGTGTCCAAATAAGAAAGGGCGCCGGTTATCGGTGGCTGTTGTTATATGTAGTCAAGTGTCGAACGTACTCACTATGATTGACAAATGTCAGACACAACTTTTATCAGTAATATCCTCATCCGTGTAATGGCCGATAGGAGAAACCTAGAGCACGACCTAGAGCTAGGGGGTGAATCCTACTATTTGTTTTAAAACTTTTAATAAACCTATGGGTTAATGAGGTTTTAGTAGTTTTATTGACGCACCCGCAAACAGCTGTAACTTAAAAACTATGCGCCATAGAATTTTGGAACAAAAATTGTCAACGCATAAGTTGTTAAGAGAAATCGATGTAAATTATATTCAAGCAGCTGATTGCGAATTGCGTATGACCAATGATAAACGAGTAGGTGGACAAAATTAAGTAAAATTTCGTAACAAATATTATTTTAATATGTTCGACAACTTTATTTGACTTTTTTAATCGAGTTTTTGTCATTAATAATGAGCATTATGTCCTCTAGCTGTGAAGTTATGAACTTGAAACAAATTTCCAGCGATTTCTAAAACCATCCTATTATTAAAAAAAAAAAAAAAAAAAAAAAAAAAAAATAACATACTGGTATGTACAATAAATTTTTCCATAGAGATATGGACTGTGTTCTTTCTTATCTTATTTGGACTCCCAGTACCTACTCTATGTTGAATTTGACAATTGTTTAAATATATTATTCTTTCGTAAAAGTAGTACTTATAGGTGTTGTTACTATTTTAACTTACTATTTATTTTGACTATACAAATTATTTGAATATCTACTAATTTTATTATAAAACTTGAGTGAGTTTAGCTTGCAATTTATTTGATCGCCTGCTATTGAAAAGAAGCATCTTGCATGTTATAAGAATCTAACTTTCCTTCCTTGTAATTTTAATATTGGCATTTAGCAATAAACATATGTGCATCTGGTAACAGCTGATTGATGATAAAACCTATTTTTATATTACACCAAAGGTTGCATTTCATTTTAGTTTTTCGTGTTTCTAAAGGTTAAACTCTACGATGAAACAAATGTTTCGGAAGCAGATAACCTATTACCTCATTTTAAATTACAGAAATACATTTTAATTAGTAATTGTTTAATTAGAATTTTATTTTAATAAAAAATTATCAAAATCATGTTTAATTACAAACAGTTGTTACAACAAATTTAAACATACTTTTTATTTAGTTATAGAATTGGCATGTGGAGAATATGGACAAGACAAACCGGAAAAAATGATCGGCGCTACGAAAAACGGAAGATCAATCCAGTATTTCAATGATCCAGACAATTTATTGAATTATTCAAAATACAAAGGTAAAGTTTTTTGAACATTTATAAATTTTACAAATAGGTGGGTATACATGAATGCCAAATAGCCACTATACGTTTGCCATATCGCTCTGGTTTCCATTTTCAAGAATAAAATGGTGTAAAAAAAGAATGCCAAAAGTCTGATTTTCACATCGTTTGAACTAACCTGTTATGAAGGGTGTTACTACGCGGGAAAAATACTATTGTAGAGCGATCTTCAAAAATCAAGATATAAAGTATATTCTGACACAGAAAAAGTAGGTCAATAAAAATCAGTTAGCCATTACAGGTGGCGCCTTTTTAAGATGACTGAAGGAATATTAAATTTCGGTGATCTCATTAGAAACCACTATTTATAATTCCAAATTTTAATTAATGAAAAATAAACATTAATTTTAAACAAAGAAAAAACGTAAATATAATATAATTTACTAAATAGGAAACGGCTGAAAATCTGAAATGCATAAACCTACGTTACATTCAAAGCAAGCAAGTTTTGTACGTTCAACGTTTTTTTGTAATTCAATAGCTTCACCTACGTTTTGTACCTTGCACTGGAAGGGGAATTCCAGCATGTTTTTCGGACCGTATTTTCAACAGTAACTACCATCAATTTTTTAAATTTCATTTGTATTTATTAGAGACCAGTTTTCTTTCGCCCCGTGAATGATCCAATTAATTGATTATACTTTGAAATGTTAAATGAGATTTTGGCTTTAGGCGACTGTCAGTTTGTAGAATGTGAAGTTTATACTAAATAAAACTATTTACAATTAATTGATGAATCTATAAAATAATAAAATAATTTTATCCATCAACGCCTGCTTTTCCATGCATCATTATAAATTTCCATTAATCCACCTTTCCCATTATTCGACAATTCAGCATTGCGCGAAAAAAATCTCTGGTCTTTTACATCTAGTAATTTTCCAAACACACTTTGCTATCTCTCTCTTATCCTCGCCTTACAACTGTTGTGATGGCTACGATGATTACCCCATTTTATCGTTACAATGAATAACTGTCATCGATTCTATATAGTAGCGAGAAAATTTTTTGGTACACATATATGCAAAAAGATAGATTATAAATGTATCGTTAATCCAAGGATTCCCTAACTATTTTGGGCAAGAGACCCTTTTTCCAAAATGAACTGATACCTGATACCTCCATAGCCAAATTACTTTAAAAATCCTATCTCTAGTTTTTTATTATTGATGCAAAATACTTATCAATTTAAAAACTTTGCAGTTGGTTAAGTGAATAAATTTGACATCATTTTCTCATCAAAATTTAACAAAATAGACATAAAATTCAGTAAATATCAAGTGTAATTATTAATTATTAATACAATTTACTTAAAAATACTTAAGTAGGTAATTATTTAAAAAAAACGTTAAAATCGCAAAGTAAAGATTAAAAAATTCAGTGTGATGGATGAACTTTCTACCAATCTATCTAAATCTGGTTCAATATTGGCGAATTATAGCCCGCGTTCGTTGATTTTAAAACGGTTTCTTTGTTTTGTCAAAATGTTTCTAACCACACTGAAGCCTTTTTCGACTAGGTATAATGATGGAAAAGCCATAAGGTATTTTTCAGCAATGTTCCACAATACAGAATATTGTGTTTCAATGTTGCGCTGCAACCAGAACTTCTGATAGCCTTGGTTGAACTTCTGCTTAAGCTCCTTGTTTGTGCTGATGGCGATCCACTCTTCTTGCATTATCACATTGGCTTCTTCCATGGCTGTGATATTGTACCGATTTATTAAAACATTAAAACAAAGAAAATTGAATATTTATAATTTTAGGTAACAACATTTCTAAAGTAATTTCAAAAAATACTTAGAAAAATATTAAAACTTTTTTTGGTACTTACCCTGTTACTTTTTCATAAACTGCAGAAATGTATGGTTACGCTATTAACGCGCGTAGGTAACTAAGCACTTTGAGGACAATGGGGGACAATTTGAACATTTGATTTAAAAACGCAGTTTTGATTTTTTTGATGGTAAGCATGATAAAACAATTAATTTTTTTAAGAATGTGATTTTTTTCATACATCGTTGTAAAGAGGCTTCCAAGACCTTACAAATGAAGTATCACTCAATCCCTCGTCCCTATTCAATTTTGAGGGGTTAAATCGCCCCTTCATAGAGGGTTGCTCGTTCAAGCCTCAAATATACGTCAAAAGATGTCTCCCAAAGAAAATCATCCGATGTGTTTCGGGAAATTTTTCCAATTGCTATGGGATAAGAAATATACGGGGTGGCCGGTCTGAGATGGAACACCCTGTATACGTCAAATACAGAGCAAGTCAAAACGTGCCCGAAAGACTTCGGGCACGCTCGAACTCATTATCTTGCACAAACTTGTCCACGCTTATCGACTTGTTTAGTGTCTTAAAAGTACAACAATGATACTTCCTACTAAACTATTAGTCATTCTTATAACAAGTTGGTACACATAAAACAACTTCTTGAAAGTTTCAAATAAAAACTTGTGTTATTAATGGGGTCGATTTTTAGACGTTGTCGACCCCTAAAATCAGTTTTTGTTTATGTCGATCCCTGGAAAGTCGATTTCGACCCCAAGGAGTCGATATCGACCACTTTGGGAATCCCTGCTGTAGAAGATGATGGACATTCTTCATTGCAATCGATCTAGTGGTGAACTACCATGTCTGCATGCAAGAAGTTAATGTGAGCCAAATTTCAAGACGGTAACATCAAACTTTTTTCTACTAACTTTTGACGTAAATAATATCTAAAAGTTTCAAGTTTGTGCTTTTATGACAGCATTTTCGATCGGTTGGGAAGAGCGTCTATTTAGGAAATGTACTGAATACTGAACTTAAAATATAACTAAATTTAAGAAGCAACTGAATTAGACTGGATTTAAAATATTAATAAATCTAGAGTATTTATATCCGTTTTAATGACTTTTGTGACGTCAATTTGACGGTGGACACGAATGGATAACAAGAAGTGGTCGATTGCAGCAGTTTCGTTGAGTGTCTGAACTTGACCAAGGCGCCACCTGTTTTGACTATATTAAAAAATATACTTTTTCAGAGAAAAACAAAATAGGAAACAAAAGGTTTGTTCCAACAACAATCTTGAAACCATACACAAACCAGTTCACAACTTATTGTCGACGACTTATAGTCGACGACCAGTCCACGGCCTGTCGATGATTGGGGTTGAATTCGGAATTTGTTTGTGTTGGAACACATGTATCTGTTGTCAGACACACTGTCAATAACGTAAAAGTAAAAAAAATAACAAATGTCAAATTTTGAATTTGGTAAATAAAAAAATTATAACACTCATTAAAAGATTTATAAATTGTGATTATTCGATTGGTTAGCACATTAACTTATTTTATTTTTACTGTGTCTAAGTCAGAATAATAGTCCTTCTCACTTTCTACACTCATTACTTATAAAAAACTATACTAAAAATAATGATAATGAATAAAAACCAAATTACGATCGAGACTACAACTTTCGACTTTCGTTTTGCGCATGTCTTGACAATTCGTTCCTATTCAGAAGCAGGAACTGATTTGACAGTACAGAAACTGATTTGTGATTAGGTTTGAGTATGTGGGAACACTAGGTTTTTGTACAGTTTTGAGTCCGAGGTTTGTTGGAACACCAAATCTAGACTGCGCAGAATCCCGACATTACGTAAACCGATTTGCTATTGTGTTGGAACAAACCTAAACTGAAATGTGACAACTGTCAAGATACGGTACGACAAGTTCAAATTCAAACTAATATCAGGCAAATTAAAACATAAATTCTAGTGTTTATTATAAATAATTTACCAAACATAAGAACTGAAGGTTCTGAGAGCAAAGAACAAAATATTTAAATTTGAACTGAAAGTTCCTGTCGTGTAACCACCTTAAGCTGACCCTGATCCTTTGCCGTTACAGTTGTCGCTTTGTATGTTTCGATACCCCAGTACAAAGACAAACGCACTCCTTGGAGAAGCTACCAGAGAAATCGGTGCGCGTCGGCTTAGTTATAGGATTTTGAATTTAATAAGAATGCAACTTTTCTTTAATAAAATGGAATTAATAAATTATGAAGGTATCTGGGCCAGGTAGGTCACATTACCAACGACGAAAATTTTTCAACGTTTGGGACTGTCATGAGTTGGAAATTATCTATATTTAAGCACATCACAAAAATATATACTGGGTGACAATGAGACTAGGGCCACGTTAAATTATTTTTCATTTATGAAGATCAAATTTGGGACAAATCTACTAGATAAAATTTTGAATTGACACTTATTCCTAAATAAAATGGCCGACTTTCTATTTTACAGGAAAAGTCATTGAATCAGCAAGATTTTTTAATGGACCATACTGCATATTTATATTATTTTGAAATCCATAGTTCAAATTATATGTGATAGTGTTGCCAAATTTTATTGTTTTTAAACAAATTTTTATTTTCAAAAAAATTTCTGCTTACAAAAACCTATTTTAAAATATATAAATACAGGGTTGATACTTTTTTAACTGTATATAGAAGTCTTAAAAATAAAACTTTTTTAAAAAAACTCAAAAATAACAATGACGCAAAATTAATAAATTTAAAACAGGACCTGAACATGTGTACGAAAAATTAAACGAATAAATATGTCTGTCTATGTTAATCTGTTTTTTACGAATATGAATCACGAATATTATAATGCCTGGCCCCATTTCGATAACTAGGTCAACAGTGTATTTATTTGTTCAGTATGGTAAATTAAATAAATGCTTGTAAAATAACTCATTTGAAGGGTAAGGGAAAAACCAACGATTTCTATTTTATAGGAATTTTTAAGTGATCAACTTCTTATGTTGGTGATACAGAGTCCTAAACGTATGCTAAATTGTAAGCGAATAAAATAAACGAGGTCCGAATAATAAAGCATTTAAAAATACGGCGTGACTAGCAGTACATCGAATGTACACAAAATATTTGTACATCGGAAAATTTCAACCCATAACTGGCTACGCCGACCGGGATAGACTACAACGGTCTGGATACAGCTCAAATTATTGTATGTTGAAGAAATGAGTGAAAAAGTTCAATAATTACCATCAATAAAATTAAATAATTAGTTACATTAAACTTTTAATTTGCAAATTAAAATTATAAAAGGCAAATACCAAAGGCAAGCACGTTAGAAATTTAAGATAATTTTTATTATAGTTTAATTGTCAAACCCAAACCTTACTATATGCCAAAAAGTGACTGATGTACAAATAAAATGCGTACAGCCGATGTACTGCTATAGTCTATTTTTATGTATGAGAGAGAAATAAAACAGCATTTCTAATGCAAAAATTAGTACGGTCATTTTAAACATTTTTACAGAATAATCTAAATATTTCCTAAAATTGTAATAAATGTACCTGAGCTATTACAAGTTTTGGGTCTTTTATTGGTCCTTTATAAACATAAGCTGTACAGAATAATAGAAAAAGGTTTGGACAGGCCAAAAGCCCTGTGTATTAAAGATTACATAGCCGTATCTTAAGATTATTTTCAATAAATACCTATTTGCCAATTTTGTTTTATTTTAATTCCAAGAATTTCTTACAGTAATCGAATTATAAGTAAATAAATACCTTCCCAACAAATTTCACCGAAAATGCGATTATAAGTTTTCCATTTAGTAAGGAGGTCCAAGTTGTGTATTCTTGACAGTTTACTAAATGTCGTTTAGTTGCAACTTGCAAGGTGCAGTGTGAATTCTAGTGCGATTATGGAAAATTTGGAAGGGCCGCGTAAACGACAAAAAATAGGTCCTCTAACAGTTAATGAAAAAACATTAATATTTAATTGTTTTAAATCATTATTTACAGATAAACATTTATGTAAAAGTGTTGATGACACAGTGGAATTAGTTAGTAGTACACTTGGTGTTGGCAAATCTACGATTTACAGAGTTATTAAAGAAGAGAAATGTGACGAGTTTCAAACAGCACATAAAGCTCTAGGAAAACCAAAATTTCAATTAGAAAATCTTTTGAAAGAAAGACTTCGAAGGAAAGTGCATGCGTTCTTCTTTAGAAAAGAATTTCCGACAGTAGACAAAGTTCTTGCCACGGTTCGAGATGATAAGGATTACCCTGAAATGAGTCGAAGCACACTATGGAAACTTTTAAAAGAAATAGGTTTTCTATGGAAAAAGCATTCCAGAAAGTCTATTTTAATAGAAAGAAGCGATATTGTAGTATGGAGAAGAAATTACCTAAGGACTATAAAAGAAATGAGAAACTAAAGAAGAAATATATTTTATTTAGATGAAAAATGGATTAACGAGGGACATAAAACAAATAAATTTTGGCAAGATGAAACTGTTACAAGTCAAAGACAGGCTTTTTTAAATAATTTATCTACTGGTTTAAATCCACCATCAGGAAAGGGGCGCAGACTAATAATAGTACACATCGGTAGTTCAAACGGTTTTGTTAAAGGTGGTTTATTGACTTTTGAATCTACTCGTACCGGTGACATGAATGCTGATGTCTTTAAAGAGTGGTTCGAACAAATTATAGATCTTCTTCCTCAGAACTGTATAGTAGTAATGGATAAAGCAAGTTATCACTCGAGACTTATAGAAAAAATGCCCACAACCAAGTGGTTAAAAAAAGATTTACAGAATTGGCTAAATTCAAAGAATATTAAGTTCCATCCCGGTTCTGTGAGAAAAGAACTGTATCATTTGTGTTCCCTTTATAAAGAGAAATTCAAAAAATATGAAATTGATGAAATTGCAAAAAATCGTGGGATGACGGTGGTTAGATCACCACCATATCATTGCGAAGTAAACCCGATTGAACTGATATGGGCACAGATAAAGGGAGAAGTTTCAAGAAAAAATAATTCTTTTAAAATGAGTGATGTTAAACAGTTGTTTTTGGAGGCTGTAAATAATGTGAAGCCTGAAAACTGGGAAAAGACAGTAAATCATACGATTAAAGAAGAAGAGAAAATGTGGAGGTTGGACAATATTACTGATGAAATGATCGAGCCACTCATTGTAAATATTGGTTGCGACAGTTCATCTTCTGATTTCGATTCTGATTTGGATTTGTAGGTAAGAAGTAGTTTTTATATTAAAATTATTATTTATGAGCGTAACGTTGTTTAAAAGTCAAACTTTAAATCCTTATACCTACATAACCCGTTTGACACAATGTTTTTAACATACCTTGTGGAAAAATAAAACATTTTAGAAAAAATTGCAGTTTTTTACCTTCAGCTGTTTAGAAGTTATAAGCAGGTTAATTAGGTGAAAATATAAGTGTATACTCGAGGAATAACTTCAAAAAATATTTTAACTGTCTACTAAAAGAAGTGGTATGCCTATGGATTACGAACGCTTTATTATTTTAATACGCTCTCATACATAAAAATAGACTATAGTCATTAGCTTGAAAATAATCATAATGGTTAAAAACAGACGTTGTCCGCGCACTACTGAAAAAAAAAAACCGACGTTGTATCTAAATACAACGATTTGTTATTACTAAAACGATTTTGTCACCCAAATACTAACACCTGTTATACAGATGAACATTTCTTTATTTTAGGATAGTTTTAAATTGGAAATCATTCCTTTTTAACAAGTTGTCACATTTTTTTTTTTAACCTAAATATAATATTCTTACGTTTAAATTCTTTTGTAACAAGTTAACTAACTATACAGTAATAAATTACGTTAAAAATATTAACCTGCAGTTTTATTTATTTCTATGACTGTAACATAAGATTTGGTAATAATATTAATTATAAACTCAATTTTTTAAGTAAGTCAGTTTTGTGATATCGTCTGTATTTCTTCTTCATTTTAAATAATAATAATGTCAGAGATTGTTTTTACATAAGCGCGCGGGTGTGGATGCATATCAGGTGGAAAAAATAAAAAAAAAAATGTGCGAACAACTGCTGAAAAATCAACTGTATCCATTTCACGTTACACGTTGAACGTGTAAACATTTATCCCGCAGCGTTAATTTTTGTGAATGGTTCTTACAACACATAAATGTAATCATAGTAATCAACATGTTCCGACGAAAATTATACAGTTATACAGGACCGTATTTGATACATTTTTGAAAAAAATATTCAAAAATGTTGATTAACTTTTATATTCATTTAAAAAAGTGCTAACTTAGGATTCATCGTGTATATATCGACAAATATTTTATTGTTTTGTTCAAATTTACAGGTATATTGAATTTAATTATTATTGTTTAAGATAACGAGAATAAAATTTCTAAAGACGATGGATTATTGCCAACATCACAACTCAACCAGTTAAAGGTGTTGCTAAGACGAGGATTTCTTAAATCGGCTAGAGACGAAGTGAGTATAAAAATAAAGTTAAAATTAAAGAATAACTCAACCTGTCGAATCATTTATCCTTTAATTAATAGACAAGGGGGTTGTATATCTATTTTTAAGACTATAGATATTGCAATGGCCGCAATAGTTCTTTCACAGGTTCTTAATACTATAAAAGTCCATGTAATTAGTGAAATTCTAGAATAGCAGAGGAATGCTTGAAAGGTTAAAAAAAATCTGAAGTTGTTGCACATTTTGTGGGCTCTGGTTTAGGTAAATCTTTTACTGCATCAGTTACCTTAATTGTTACAAATATATTTGCAATAGAACTCATGGCATTTTTGTTAGGATAGCAATCATTAAACATATTACATTTTTATTAAGATCAAATATTTCAATTCGTTCTTTTTCAGATACATTATTCATTTTCACTTTTAATAAACAATAAGTTTGTGATGCGTGAAAAGTCAAGCATTGTTGTAATAATAGTCACAATGAGTTATTATTTTAGGTTCGGAAAACATAAAAAATCTAACATAACTAATTTTTATATTTAGGTATAGGGAGAACTACATAAAACATATTCAGAATCTATTTGAAATAATAAAAATAAAAGTCTGACAACATAAATACCACTCGAAAATCGTCAATATTACATACCTAACTCCAACAATCCAAATTTCATAAATATCGTACAACTGTTTCCAATAATTGGAGAATTCCTCACTCTCTATAAAATAATTAATATTCTTAATTTTTTTTTTTTCAGACATTAACATACCTACGAGTGGGAACGAACATAGTAGTTGGAATAATGTTGGGAAGTATCTACTGGAAAGCTGGTAATGATGGATCAAAAGTATTAGATAATTACAATTTACTCTTTGCAATTTTAATGCACCACATGATGGCTACAATGATGTTGACTATCTTAACTTGTAAGTTGAAAACTGATTTGCTAACAAAAATATGCTACCAATCGAAAAGAAAAATAAGATAAAATCAATAAGATACCATTATAATCCGATTTAGGGTCCATATAGCACCAGTCAGAACGTAACAGGTGTTAGTAATGGAGTTATCAAATAACACTAAAATAAATTATAGCACATTATTTACAGTAGAAAATAAGCAAACACATGCGCTTTGAAAAAGAGGTTAAATGAGAAAATGGCATACAACCAAGGTGCCTAATCAACTGTGCCCGCTATTGACCTAGGCAGGTAACAGTAGACTGGGTATAGCTGATTGTACACTTTATTAATGGGTGGGGCACTAATGCATTAATGCCTGGGCGACTAACGTTGAAAATTAGTATATTTTTAACCGACTTCTTAATTCGTCGCAATATTTTTTTAAATTTTTTTTTATGTATGTTCAGAGATAATTCTTTAACACAGTATCCGATTACAATGATTCTTTTTTTGTTAGAAAGGGGGTACTTCAGGGGTGGTCTCATATGAATTTGGTCAAAATCTAAAAATATTCATTTCTTATGTATGTTTAGCGATAATGCTTTACCACCTTGTCCAATTTATATGATTCTTTTTTTGTTAGTAAGGGGGTACCTCAGGGGTGGTCCTATTTAAATTTGATTAAGATGTGATGATGCAATCTGCGCGTTTTTGAAGTCGGTTTTTTTAATTTTTTAATTGTTTAGTCATCTGATATGCAAAGCCGCGTTGACGCCAATTATACTACTACGCCATGTTTAAATTATAATTAGGTATGTAAGCATGGTCGGCCTTCATGCCATTAAAATTTGGGATGTAAACAAACATAAAAAAGCATTATAAAGCCCTATTTTAATTTTCTAGGAATAATTCATACTTATATCCCGTTTACTTTGCGTTTGGATCAATATCAACTTTAAATATTGTTTATCTAAATTAATTTTTTTTTGAGTTTTGAGAAATTCGTTGGACACGTATCAAAGCACTCTTTAATACCAAATTCAGCTATCAGAAAAGAAGTCGCAAATCTCCACATTGGCTGTAGAACTATAACTAGGTAGAATGGATATGAAATATGTTCGTTCAGTTGAACGCAATGGTTGGCTTTTTCGTTTTGTAGTCTGTTCGTTGAATAGCTAAAATCCATATGTACGCGTAAGATATGCCTTACGAACAACAATCTCATATAGAAATAATAATATTCAGGCTAATATAGTTGAAAAATATTATAGGTTGAATATATTTATTGCATATCTGGATTCCCTTATTACTTCGCTTACATCACGCTTTTCCGAAGACTCTGTTAGTTTGTCCTTAAGCCTGTTACATCCCAAAAGCATAAAAACAATACTTGTGGAAAAATTTGGAATCGACAATTTTGAAGCTGAATACCAAACTGGAGTACGAAAGAGCTTTCTACACACAATGAGCTCTCCATTAATGATATAGCATCCAAACATTGTGAATTTTATCCAGACATACAAAGTGGTTTAAAAAATATTTATGGCTCTTCCACAAACGACAAAGTTAATCGAAAGAACGTTTAGCTAAGGCATGTTAAAACATGGCTGCAATCTATTCGAACAGTGCGAAGTCATGGTAGGGAAAGCAAAAGCGATACTAGCCATAGATATATAACCAAGACAGATAGGATTATTTACAAAATTTTTGAAGAATGAACGGTGGTGTCCCGGTAGAAACTCAATAATCGGATTGAACATTGATGCCAAGTTTACGTGCTTTTAACTATAGATATATATATATATATATATATATATATATATATATATATATATATATATATATATATATATATATATATATAAAACCAATACAGATTACACAATTTCTGAAGTCAACGCGGATGATCCTCGACAGAAATGCAATATTTGGATAAAATTAAAATATTGATGCCAAGTTTGCGATGTTTTTAACTGTAGTAATGTTATTGCGTTTGCTTGAATTACTGTTAGGTCTTTAAATTGTCAAAAAAAAAAAATAATGTCTGACAACAGCGGAAGTAGAGTAGACCGCAATTGTGGAGGGTCGTATATGGTTTCATTCATAAAAATTCCTTCGATACAGTACTAGTCCAGGAGCCAGTGAATTTTTTCGTACTTGTTTTCCCGGTCCGTGTATATTTAAATAATCTATTCCCGGTGAACTGTGTATTTAAAATGGAACGCCAATCTATTAACAAAAGTAAGCCATATTGAATTCGCGCATTACGTCACATCGATTCAAGTGAGATTGTTTACAAAGTGCCTTTGCAGGCCTATTTTGCCCATTTCATGTATTTGTTTTTAAATCATGTTAAATTACTATTTTTGAAACTCAACAAGGAGAAAATCCAATTAACTCTTCCGTTGTGTATATATATAAGATAAATTAACTGAAGTTTTATTAGTAAAGTATTAATACTAAAATTTTAATGTAATTTTCAGAAAATAGCTAGGTATGTATTTGTTTTTAAATAATTTGATAATTTATGAAAAAAGGGAGTAAAAGTGGAATGACCAGTGGCCAGTAGGTCAGTCAATACAAAGTATCATATATTTCTATTATAACATAACTAAAATACCTACATCTTTTAATCATAAGGACATAAGTTAAAAACCATTAGAATGAAGTAATAATAACTTAAAGAGACGAGGTCTTAAAGTAATAGCTGGTACAGCATGTTTTTTAAACGTTTCCTCATTGCTGCTAGAATGAAATCACTTACTATGAAATGTGCTCTAAAAACGGCATTTATAGCAGTCAGTGTTCAGTCTTAGGATCTCTTCTTAAAGCGCTCATCCAAGCTGCATACATATTAAAAAATAATTAAAAAAAAACATATTATATACCTATATAGTTTTCGGTTCTGGGTGCCCTAAAAGAGGACACTTAGCCGACAATTTGGCTCAGATAGCTAAAACCCAAAAGTCACACCCCGAACCAGGACGTATTGCTATCGTTTTAAGTAAAAAATAACTACAAATAACTTACCTGAAAAATGAAGGCGTCTAACTTTACACCAAAAAAACCATACACTTTTTCCCATTGTTGCAAGCACCCGATGACGATTAGGTAGATATCAACTAGAAGCATGTACTTAATGGTTATAAAGCTTATTTTAACACAAAAAGAATAAAGTACTAGTCGAAAAGCAGCAATCAAATATAAATAGACCACAATATTAAAATTCAAATTAAAAACTATATAAAAGACAAATACTCTAAAAGCGCAAAAGATCAGAACCAAATAAAATGAATAACCATAACAACCTAAAAATCACACTAAAATTGCAAAATCTATTACTGTAAAATCATGAGATTACATCAATAATGCATATGCGTCGGAGTATCGCAAATGTCAAAAGTACAGTGTTTCCATGAAAATTTAGCTATGTTTTTAGCAGTATTATAGGACCATTTCTACCACGCGCATCCAACGATATTGGCGTTCCACAGTTCACTGTATTTTCCTCACACCTCTAGTATAAATGATTTGACATAACGAAACTAACAATAATTATAATTAATGTAGAGTAATAAGTGATTCGTGAATTCTAAATAAAACAATTATTATATAAAAGTGTAAAAGGAAATGTAATTTATTTCCCTATTTTCTTCTGAAATATCTTTAATTATTATGTTTAATTTCTATAAATAAACCAACTGGTTAGGTGAAACATTGTGATATAAGATTTTATTTATGTGTCCTATGCGTACACTTTAATATACAAAACACCTGGAACATTCTCTAAATAATTGTGGTCGTAGAAATAATTGTGTACATAACTCGTTTGAAAGTGTATTTTATGCACTTGCCAAATATATTATCCATACAGATTAATCAGACTATTTTTTTACTTAACTTCAGTTCATCTCTTACTACTAAAACTATTTTTATCAATGGAAAAAAGGGCCGTGTCCTCGTATGTTTTGATGCATTTTCGGCCTCAGCCCATCGGATCCCCCCTCTAAATATATATGAATTTTGCTTAGAATTGCTAATCCTACAATTCTCTATTCGTGCTTGCTGACTGGGAAAATAAATAACGCAAATTGTCACTGTCTCCTGGACTATACAATAGACTATACAACAAATACACTTTTATGAATGGCTAGTTGAGGATGTGTTACTAGCGCAAGCAGCGGATAATTCGAGTACTTTAGGGCGATATTTTGTAAGTTTGGCGTATCAAATACACGTATATATTTTAATTTTTACTAAAAAATAGGTTAAAAACAATAAAATGAGCAACCGGAGTTGCTATGTTACAAATTATACTAGCAAAAAAAACTGAGTATTATATAAATTTTCAGTAGCAAAATAGAAATTAAATCAAAAAAATAAATAGAAGAAAAAACCTTTATTTTTGTAATAATACCAGTAATACTGGAAATAATAGAGATCAGAAAAGGTTATAAATAAACAATAAATTATTATTTTATAATATTTTCCAACATCCCTTGAGTCTTAAATGTTTAGCAAATGATTAGATTTCTGCCTTTAATTATTGAATATGGCTGAAATGCAATCTTGTGACTTATTGATAGGAAACCAGTTTTAATCATTAATTTCTATGGGTTCTTTCCAACTAAAAATGAAGAAAATATAAATTACAATCGCAAATATACCAATTATTTTTGTTAATACATTTTAATTCTACGTTATTATATAATAGTAGTGTTTTTATTTTGACATTATTTAACCTATTCTTCAATGACAACTTATTAGGCTTAGACAAGATCTCATACATTTTCTCGTAAATACCTACCTATGTTTTATTATTGATTTGTATTGATTATACTACTTTTTTTAGCTGAAGTAATAAAAATATATAATAATAATAATATTAATAATTTTTTCACTTGTTTTATAAATCTATATACTTTTATTTTGTCTTTTTGTGTTGGGTTATTTTATTTATTAGAGACTTGTTATGACAACTTAAGTATCAGTTCTGTCAAATAGGTCAGTGACATTGTTAGGGTTACTACTACAGTTCCACTCCCCATTTACCGTATACCAGTGGCGTATCTAAGCATTTTTATTATTAGCAAACCGTTTAATAATTCTATCCGCTTTTATCTTCGTTGTTAATTGAGATATTGGAATGAAAACTTATTTGTTTAAAAGCTTGAGACAAATACTCTCATATACTGGATTCAATTGGTGTGTGACTTCATCGCTTACTTCTGTTTTATCGGAAATAACAAAATCTTAATTTATTTTTAAATAGAAACCCCCGTTTTTATTGAACATTTGAATTTTAGGGACATTTATGTATAAGAATCATGTGTTTTAAAATTTTTTGTCAGCTGTCAAAATGATCATCATATTCGATCATATTTTTTTTAATATGTTACTGAGAAAATTTTCAATACACGCTTCTTATACAAAAATGTCCCAGAAATTCAAATTTTCAATAAGAAAAAGGGTTTTCATTTAATAATAAAAAATAAATTGCGATTTTCTGTTATTTCTGGAAAAACCGGACGTAAGCCATGACGTCACAGAATAATTAAATCCATCATAAGAAAATTCTCTTTTATGTTTCATTTTCTTTATTTTCCAATAAATAAACACTAAATTTTTTTAAAATTTTGCCCCCCCCCCCTATAGAATTGTGTAACGACGCCCATGAAGACAGTGCTTGATGAATTTTAACTAATTATGTATTTTACCAATGAAGATGTTTAATTTAGAATTAAATCTTGTTTTAGTTCCACAAGAAATGTCTATTCTCATTAAAGAACATTTTAATCGTTGGTACTCTTTGAAAATGTATTACACATCGGTGACTTTAGTGGATATTCCAATATCTGTAAGTATAATAACTGATATTAAAATGTTTACAATTGTAATAACAACGGCAACACTGAAGCCTATTTAAACAATTTTATAAAATATACCCTAGAGAACGTATCACTTAGCTTGAATCGCCAAGCAGGCATTACAAATAATGTGACCTTTTGACAGTTAAAATGGTTGACTGATGACATACAACCGAGGTCGATTTAATTTTTGTGAAACAAATTATTTTGAAATATTATATTTCCTAAATACAGACAGAAACAGAAGAATGATTAATTTATAAGATAGCGATTTTCAGTGTAGTTTCTTTTGTGAAAATTCGAAAAATCGATCTTTTGCGTTATACCTATTTAGTCATTGGCATTTATTTAAAATAAGACCTGTATGATATCTTTACATTAATAATAAAGGATTCGTTATGTACATTGGCTCGTTTTACTCCAAACTGCTAATTCATAGATATAATACAAAAGTATCACTTTTTGACATTGGGCCATTTTTGTTAAACTCACAGATTATAATTATGCAAATTATTGCCATGTAAATGTACCTACTCTAATGCCAACAAACATTTTGAATAGGCTAATAAAAGGCCCAATAACTGTTACCCTTCGATTGTAATGATGGTCACTTAACTTTTATACTTAAAAGGCCAACAAATATAGGAAACTACGGCCGACAGTCCGGCCGAAGTCACTTAGCCATCAAATCCAGTTAATAGGCCTTCATTTTACCTTTAATGTCAAGAAATAAATATATTAGCAATTTATGGCCTATTGATGGCAAGTTAACGGGAAATTGAAGACCTTTTACCATAATAATACTAACTGCTGCATGAAGGCCATGTGCTAGGCACATGACCAGACAGGCGATTCGATAATGCCTTTTTGACCAATAGTACTGTTTGAACTATAAATTCTATAGAAAAACAGAAGGCATTCCAATATAGAATATTGTAGATATGAATACTAAATAGTGAATACCAGAAATCCAAAACTGGCCACATAATACATATCCACTCGTTGAGTATGTAATAAACGATCATCGGTGTATCCATCTATGAAAGCGGGACGGAGCCATCCTGGACTGTTATGGTTGGGTCTGCAGCAGATAAAGGCCTTTTGACTTTTATCATGCTTTTACACAAAACAGTTACTTACCCTTCATAAGGCCATCATCAACCATCATAATGCTGGGCCACTATCGAAAGGCCAAAAGTAGACTTTTATCTTTTAATCGTCGTATTCATCTTCCCTTTAATTACAGTAAAAAACCAACAATATCCCGGCAATTCATTGTTTGTTGGGATTTTTCAAAAGTCTTCTCGTAAAACGAGAAACTCTAGTTTTACGTGACATTAAGAATAATACTATTATTAAAATCACACACTAAACCGTGTTTTTATTCAGAATTCACCCTCAAAGCACAAAGTTACCATTATTCAAACTAATTAGATATTCTAAATAAAATGGTTGCCTGTAGGCATTAATATGGTGAATTTTACAGGGTCAATAATAAATATAGATAGTTATATCGAATAATCATCCATGTTTTTCAAAATAAGCATCAACTCATGCCTTGAAGTAAAAATGTAGGTAATTATTTTTTATTATATTCAAAGGCTGAAAATTGGTTTTAAAACAAATTTATGCTATACAAGTTTTGATTAATGAATTCTTGCGAGGCAATATGGCCGCTCGCAATGCGACCCGCTTTGAGCAATTTATAGGTACCAGCCCACAAGGTAGCCATATCAATGCCCACAGGCAGCAGTTTGAAAGGTCTTTAGAATGCCTAACTATATACAAAAACAACTTGAACAAATAAGTAAACAAACGTTTGTGTGTCATCAGGCAACAAAACTTGAGTCACAATAGTGCCTATGCCTGTAGTAGCGTACAATACACCTTTCTCGTTTTTCGACCATTTCGCATTATTCAAACCCCAAAAAGTGAGAGACTTTTAAATCTAGTAATTTCCAAACTACGTATTTTCTTGGTCTCTCTTATCCTCACAAAAACTGCTAATTTGTTGTTATATTTCCTAGTCTGAGTGCCAATTACACTTTTGCAAATGTCATTTTGTTTTGCATTTGCTAGAGCTTATTTGCTACATCGGTAATTATTAATTAAATATGGAAATAGGAAATCTTTAATGAATTAAAATTATTTTTAAGAGTAGAACTTAAAATTAAAAGAAAATATAGGCTATGCCATTTAAAAATATATAATTTTGTATTGGTATTCTGGTTTGGGATATCCTATATATGTAAAACTAATTTTAATTTGTAGACACCGTTGAGTTGTATATTTGTGCCGAAGGAATTTTTAATATCTTTTGCAGTTTACCCACCAGGCTCCGTCCCGTTGAGTGTGGCTTACCTTGTATATACATTTTTCGTGTCTTATTTATTGTTCCTCATTTATTTTAATGTTTACGCTTTGAACTTGCATTATACTTAAAAACGTCAATAAATTGCTAATAACATAAATAAAAGTTCATTGTTATATTACCAACATGTTATGTTATGCCTTTGGTCAAATAAATAGCATTGGTGTCAGAATGGAACACGAGTCATTTTTATACCTAGTCTGAGGAAAATATGTTGGAACATTTTACTGACATCGGATTATCCTTGGCTTTGTAGGAACGGACTATTTTCCATGCGCTTGTGTCTGGAGTACGTCTGATGATCAGATTAGCTCTTGGAACAAATCTTATTTGATTTGGCTATTATGGAGATGTGGCAAAAAGATCCGTGCAAAAATTACACCCCGCTGGACTCGATGAAAGTTGTTTAAAGCAACGATGACAACCCATCAGTTTTAGTTTGGGTGAGGATACGAGATAGATTTTTTCTCGCATGAGTAATGCGGATTGATCGAATAAATGGAAAGGTGTATATTGACCATCATTAAAGGGATAGGTCTATAATTGTCAATATATAAGTTTTAATAGGGATAAGGTTAATGGGAAGAGGACATGCGAATATAGGAAACTTTAACTTATTATAACGTTTCGACATATATGCTATATCAAAGCGTTGATCGCAGGCACATGGTGGCACTGGTTTTAAGTCTTGATAAAGATGTGATATAAACGTCGACAAGTAGTTAAAGTTTCTTATTGCTATGTCCTCTTCCATTAACGTCATTCACATTTTTACATTTTAAGGGCGCAAATTCATAAGCTATATTCATTTATTTTTGGGACTATCATTAATTACCAGTTTTCATTTATTATAATTTTGTCCAATAAATTAAAATTTTTACAACTTCTGTTTTACTGTTACTCGTAAATTATTTGTTTTCAGATCGTTTGCTGTTTTTTATTTACAATCATCATTTATTTCATGACGGATCAACCAAATGATTCTGTACGGTTTTTGATGTTTTTCGCAACTTGTATGTTGGTGGTTTTGGTGGCTCAAGGAGTAGGTTTAATGATTGGAGCGTACTTTGATGTTGTTGTAAGTATATACCCTTTGGTAAACAAATTTTTTTTGTGTCAATATGTTTATTTACAGAACAAATTTGTAGTTAGATGACAAAACCATATGTCAAGTTTTGGTAATTTTAATATATACTTAAGGTACGTTTACATCTGACATTTATTGCATGCTATTTATGTCTGACAGTTGTTTAGTCCTGTGTAAACACTCAAAAATATATGTCCAAGAGAAATTTTTGTGCGTTTACACTGGACTAAACAACTGTCAGACATAAATCTCATGCAATAAATGTCAGATGTAAATGTATCTTTACATAAAATCTGCTGTATTCCGATTTAATAACAGAAATTTAATTAGACATTTAAAAAATCTGGGTTTAAAGTTTTCTTTTTTTTCAACAATGTTATTTTTCTATTTATGTTAAGCTTTCATTATACACTGTATTGTATACATGTTTTACTGGAAATGACTATAGACTATATGTTCGTTTAGGATTCAAAACTTTTTTTTATTTTAGACATAGGTTTTGAAACTGTATGCTTTCAAATGAATTCGCAATCACACATTAATTTCGTTTAGTTCTAGTAGATCATTTAGAAACTAAATTTTTTTTTATATAGAGCAAATAAAAGAAAAATTGATTTCTAGTAGCAATAATATTAAATGTATATGTTTTATAATAAAATAATTAATCAATGTAATCAAAACATAGTTATTGGTTGTGCCTAGATATAATATATGTATGTAGAAGTAAGCTATATATAAAACAATACCAAAATGAAATAAACATTAATGCTACCGAATTCCCATGAAATTTATTTATTCTTTATTTGTTTAGGTCAAGGTCACCACTTAACAGTTAAAAACCAATTACCTATCGAATGGAATAAATACAGAAAAAATATATTTTATTAGTGTGATATATCATACATATTTTCAGGCAAAAAACGTTCAATTTCATTTTACTGTCTATATTAGAGCACAAAATATTTTAAAATTATCACACAAAAAACTCACATACTACTAATATATACACAATAGATAATATACAGGGTGTTTCCGAACTTGGCGTCCAAATTTTTAGGGGTGGTAGTTCGCATAATTTGAGAGCGATTGGTAGATTTCATTTTTCTAAAAAAATTGTAATAAACAAAATAGAGCCATTATAAAAAAAATCAAAGAGCAGGTCCTACCCTGAGCGCGTAGCGCAATAGTCCTCAAAAACAAATGCGATTTGCAATTTTGTCGATTCTAAGCGTAGCGCGCGCGAGTCGAGGTGGTCCTATCGCTGTGCAGGAGCGTACCTGTTTATAATTTTTAATTATTTTTATTTTAAATATTTTGGAAAAATGAAATCTGCAAATCGGTCTCAAATTATGCGAACTACCACTCCTACAAATTTTGACGCTAAGTTCGGAAACACCCTGTATACACATACAAGAGATAATATAAAAAAGATTAGGTACCCAACTATTCGTAATAGACATATTTATTAACTTTACAAGCAGAACACAATAGATTAGTTTGCTTCAACTGACTGATTTTGTTGAAACTTGTTGCCAACATCAACATATCCAATATATTTTTGGCCAGTTCATTCCATCCTTTGCATAATTTCCATTTCATCCATCAAATGATTCAAAAAACCTTCTTTGCAACCTTTTGACCTTCTCCGCCTTTAAATTTCAATGCTCTTCAATGAATCCAGGAGAATCGGCAACAACCCTATACCACTTTGATAAAGTACTGGGATGTGGGAGACAATTATTAAATTTTTCCCTCACATATGTATAAGCCTTCATACTGTAGAAGCTTAAAGTTAGTGCAAACGCTCTTAATTCAGGGGAGTATTTTGTTCTGGAATGATCTTTAATTGCTTTCCCGACCAATTCCTTAGATCCACTTGCAAGAGAAGCCTAAAAAATAAACTAATTTGATCCAAAATAACATATATAAATAAAATGTTTCCTCATCATTAAAAAGATTTATAAAAATTACTGAAATTAATTCTTACATCCACAAGTATATCTGTACTTTTGATAAAAGAGTTAATTTTTATATAATATATCCTATTATACTTTTTAAAGATTCCAATATACTTTGTGAAATATATTTCTCCCAAGTTTTTTAATTATATTTTTTTTTTGGCATAAAATCTTCTTTTGGGCAAGAGCTAATTTTCTATCAAAAAATAACTGTTTAAATTTTTTTCTTAAGCATTGCTTTCCTGAAATCATAATAATGCTTGATAATATGAGAAAATATTTTATTTTATTTCAATAAATCTTCTCTTTCCCTTTCAAAATCAGTTAGTGTAGATGAATGGGAGCTTACAGATATTGTCGTTTTAGGTGATGAGTTTATCAAATTTTAGACAATTTTTTGACTTCTAAAGAGAGTTAAGGTTTATATGGACCCACCTCCTCACTCGTTTCTGACTCTAGAGATGGCTCTACCTGTCGAATCAAATTTAGTATACAATTTATTAAAGTTACAGGGTTCTATCTGTGATAGAATAATATTTCGTTAGTTTATATCGCCGCCAAAAGAGACTGCTAGCACAATAATAGATTACGCGGGAGATCTTTATGATTCGATGCGAAGAACGTTGCCAAACTTCAATGTTTTATTTGTTTATGTTGTAAGCCGCGGGAGGTGAGGTGTTGAGCGCGGACGGCCCAAGTGATCCAGCTAAGAGATGGATATGACCTGGCGAGCTTTTGTTAAGTCTTCCACTGGTCCGCTCAATCATTCTCAACTATGAACTTTACTGAAATAAAATTATTTAGGGTGAGCGCATTATCCTTAAAATATGGTATAAAATTAGAACAATATATTCTATGTGGTTTGGCGAATGGACTCAGTTCGCGCAGTCAAAAAATTTAAATAAAAAAAAACTGACTGGAGGATACGTTCGCGCGCTATGGTTGGGTACTATTTAATAATTAAATGAATAATAAATAATTTCAATGAAAACTATCCATAATTTTAAAGGTGAGAAGAGAAAGAAAAAAAATAGACAGAAAGGGAAAGAAAGAAAGAACAAAATCCCAAGAAATGCAACTTCCAGACGATTCAATGTACACCTCAGGTATACATTTTTGAAATCGAATAGTATAAAATAGTAGAAAAATGTGATAGTATACAGAGTAACTAACTAATATGTACCTTAAAGGTAAAAAATGACTCAAAATAAATCCCACGTAATTTAATTTTAGGAAGTTAAATGACAACCGGTTTCGGGATTAGGCCATCATCAGGTCTAAAAATAAAGTAACAAGCGCTTACAATATAAAATGACGTCTCCATAAAATATTTAAAAAAAATACACGTGTATGATTAAAAAGGCAGTTGTAAGAGATACCATATGTGGGAAATATGATAGAAATTGTACAAAATGAAAAAGATTTGCATAAAGAAACTTATAGGCTAACACTATTCATCGCCATATTCTCACATTTATCAACATGTCCCACATATATTTCTTACAACTACCTTATCCTTGTTGGGGCTCGGTTTTAATCATGCACGTGTATTTTTTTAACCTTTTTATGGGGACGTCCTAGTAGTGTTTTGTTAGCGCTTATCACTTAATTTTTGGACCTGATGATGTTCTAAGGCCAAAACATTTAACTTAATGAAATTAATTTATATGGGATTGATTTTGAGTTATTGTCTTACTAATATATAGGGTGTTTCATTAAAAAAAAAAACAAGAAGAGTGGTCATAACCGGGGAGGAGACCGTAAAAGTTACAACGAGTATACCACGAGCAGAATTGTCCCTTTATATGATTTTCGACTTGTTCTTGTATTTTTTCATGAAAGCCTCACCTTTAAAATTATTTAGAGTGGATAATTTTCATTGAAAATTCCTGTGTAGGGCAAAGTGCCAATACAATGACGTTGTATCCATTTTTCATCTCTGATAGACGAATCGTCATTTCATTGGTGATATAAGATCACTGAAAAGTCATAAATGTTGAATAACAAAAAACTGGTTATTTAGCATTTGTCAGAAAATTCAATATAGGATTAAATTTAAAATTATTCTTTAAATGTTCCAATTGTGGATTTGTGAAATCAATAACCACAAATAAAGAAACTTAAAAGTTAAATCTTCTGGCTACTACATCTATTAGCAAGGGACATAACACTTTGCAAGAAAATTTGTTAAAATTTGGTATTTCTTCTTTTGATATTCTCACGTTTTGCATGTTGCTTAATAAAATATGTCACAATTAATGAATTTAGGGGTGACCGTTCAATAATTATATCACAAGAGCCTTAATCATATTGCCTTGAACTTGGCTTCGTAGCCCTTAACTGAATTAGGGTCCTACTCTCGACATTAGGACCTAACACGTCTCTGTAAAAGGACTGAAAAAAACACAATGTTTTCTTAAAACAAATAGTATTTCTATTAGGAAATATGATATATTCGGCAATTTATGAGTTTTAAGATATAAGCCGAATAACACATTGTTCTAGGCAACAGTAGTACAAACTAAAACCACAATGATTGACTGTTTGGACTAGACTGCTTTACCCGGGAATATTAATTGTAAATCATGCCTCTTCCATTACCTTAAGGGCTAACAATTTCTGTGCAACAAAACAATTCTACAAAATACTTCACAGCTGAACATACACAAATATGGACCAACACTATCTTTAAAACAATTTAGCTTACCAACTGCAATATCTGCGACACATGTAACAACAATTTGTTAAAACCGCGATTTAAAATAAAAAAGGACTTTTAATTTTCTACGATGGAGATCCAGAGCCTTTGGTCGAAGTCTTAGTGATCAGGAAACATTACTGGGAATATACTACAAGGATGCTCTCTTATGCACCCGATGAAGAGGATCCTCTATTGTGGAAAACGCCCTGTGTGTCTCTTTGAGGTTACCTTTATAACTTCTGCATAGTTTATTTTTATTAAACTAATATTAAATAATTATTAAATAATCAATTTTGTACATGATTGCAACTTAAAACCAATTCGCGAAATAA